GGATTAAGGAGACTGAAAGTTTATAAAGTAGATGAGAGGGTCTGTGTTTGCTAACTAGTATGAGCCTGTGTTTAATATGTTTATCATATAATAGGCTTTATTGTATTCTAGAGCTTTCCAGACATCATAATGAATGCTTACATTGATAATGTCATCATTGTATTTGAATAAGACATAGTTCTATGTACCCATGATAGTCTAAGCATTTTCTATATACTAGCTCTTTTAATTGCCTCAGTGATGCAGGTTCTGGTATTATCTTCATTTGAAAAAAAGAAACTGAGGTGCCAAAAGTGCTTTTGTAGCATGTTTCATGTCTGGCAATGAGCTGTGTCCTGAGGCCACAGAAGTGAGGAGTACACGTGGGCTTGCCTCCATGGAACTTAAAGTTCTGGCCGAGGAGACTGTATTAAACAGCTTTCTAAATAACGGTTCTGAAATCATTGGGTGGTGGGTACTTTGACGAATTGAGGATGTATGAATGAACATGGTGAAGAAAGATATCTAGGATTCGTTGGAAAGGTTCTCTTGAAGAATTGAAAAGGTGGTAGATAAATAGAGGTAATTTGGTCAAAGATAGAGTGAAGATGAGTAATCCTGGGGCTGGGACTCAGTGATAGAGCACTTGCCCAGCCTTTGTGAGGCCCTGGGTTACACTAGGAGGTAGTGGGTAACAGCCAGAGAAGAGCCTCGAATGGAAGGAAAGAGCAGCGCATTGTCAAGGATCCTGGCCATTGTCACTAAAGAATAACATGGGGAAGAAGAGTGAGAGAACTTTGCCCATGTCCACAAGAGTCATAGGATGCAGTGTATTATAATCCATGGTAAGGATTTTGGTTCTGCCATGGGAAGATTTGTGGTTTAAAAAAAGCAACTCAGTGCTGTATAAAAATATGTCAAGGAGTGGAGGCTGTAAGCAGTACTTGGGATGGAAGAGACAGTGTCATGAGCTCACAAACATTCAGTTTTAATTTTTAAAAAGGTTGTTTAAAACATCATTTTGCCCCTCTTCTATGAGGCTTATTTATCTGTCCTAGTTTCCAAATCATTTGACAGTTAAGTAAAATTATATTTTTTGTTAAAAGGCTTAGCCCACCCACTTCAAAGTTGTGAATTTAAAGTTAAGGTTTAAATCCTTGCCTATCATAGAAAGATCAACTGATTTTTAGAGCTCTTTTAAAGTCTGCTAAATTCCAGATTATTTACACAGTAATATCTGTAATTATGAATGTTATTTTACCTTAATATTTCATTTTATCTGTTAAGATGAACACATTAACCAAACATGATGGTGCACACATCTATAATCCCAGCACTCTTAGAGGCTGAGGTAGGAGGATCACAAGTTCCAGCTCAGCTTGGGCAACTAAGCAACTTGACTCTGTTTCAAAATACAGAATAGGAAGGCTAGACATAAAATGTAATTCAGTACAAAGTCCTTGGATTCAATCCCCAGTACTGCAAACAAAACAAAAAACACAAAACATTACATATTGTTCTGAACTCATCAGTTTTGTTCATCTTAATATTATCATCCTGTAGGGCCGGGAATTTAGCTCAGTGGTTCTTCCGTCTGCCTTGCAAGCTCAAGGACCCGAGTTCAATCCCTGGTACAAACAAACAAACAAACAAAAAAATTATCATCCTGTGTTTACTTGATCTCAGCATCTGACTTTGACTCCTTTCTTCCTCCTGCCATGATGGCCAGTTACATGCAAAAGTCCCATTGACCTAGGCATGGTGGCCCAAGCTTGTAATCCCAGCAGTCAAGAGGCTGAGGTAAGAGGATTGCAGTGAGTTTGAGTCCAGCTTGGTATACATAGTTCAAGGTCAGCCTGGACTACATAGCAAGACCTTCTCTCAGAAAACCACACACACACACACACACACACACACACACACACACACACACACTCCATTGAATCTAACTGCAATCTATATCTTGTATTTTTTCCCTTCCCCTACATACTGTTATCTGTAGTTCAGACTTGACTGGCTCTTGTTTTCTGGGTTTCTTGGCACCAGATGTCTTCTACAGGCTGCTTTTCACATTGTAGCTAGGCTTATTTTTCCTAATGCACAGCTCTTGTCACATTGCTTATCACTGGCTAGATGTAAAATTTTGAGCTCTATTTCAGTTGTTTTTGACCTTTCATAAACCATCCCAGAACTTACTGCGTTAATGCTACAGTTTTATTGGGAAGGGGTAACCTAGTCATTTCTTTTTTCTTGTCCCCATGCTTACAGGTGAGGTAGCCAGTGCTGGAGGATCTACTACTTCTAAGATGTCTTCTTTACTATATGTTCCTTGTTAGAGACTGCTGGAAGGCTGACCTCAGCAGTCCAGTTCTGTCTCCATGTAGTGTCAGAGTTTTCCATGTGATCTCTCCAGCAGGATATTCAGACTTCTTACCTGGTGACTCAGGGCTCCCAGAGCTCTAGATGAAAGGTTCTGTCATCTTAAAGGCTAAACCGGGATCTGGCACAAAGTTATCTTAGCTTGAGTATGGCTATCCACTAATCCTTCCCTGGCTACCTGGCTTTCCTTAGTTGGAATGATCTCCTTATTACAAGAGTGAATTTATAATATACCTAACTGGTACCCATATTTTCTTACTGGTAGGCCTCCAAGTTCTTTAAAGCAAGATCTCAGAGGGTTTTCTTTGTATATATTCCTTCTGATACATAACAAGTTCTTTATACCACATGACAGGCCCACAATAACTGTTTACTGAATTATTTGAAATGTTAATGTAAATAATGACAATTTAGTATAGAAGATTAAAATTCAAAGAAAAAAAGATGTAATTACTGTTAAGCTTTATTGATTAAAGAGGGTCAATATGCTTACAAAGAGTTAATATCCAAAGAATGGTTAAGATGACCAGTTGATATGTTAGTGAAGAGCAACAGTCATTCACAGACACTTAAAACATGCTTGGAAGAGTTGTTGTGGGGGTCTGGTATGGTGAGTGCAAGCCAGCTGCTTCTGTCCTTTGCCCACTTTTCACTGGCAAGTCAAAGGAAATTAACTCGTTAAATTGCAAGTTTTATTATCCCCCAAATCAATGTTGCAGAAGTGACATTATGGAAGTAGTTCTGGAAAGTAGAAATGTGCAAAACCACAGAACCAGGTATTATTTCAGGAGCACAATGAGAAATGGAGAAACAGCATGAGGAGATGAATGAGAAAAATGGTTAGAGGCAGGCCTAAGCACTATGGTCATGAGCTGAAAATGCAGCTTTGGAATTAGAAGATTGGGCTGGAGAACTATAGGTGATTCCTTTTCCTGAGTTCCTTTGTTTCCTAAATTTTTTAAACTAGGCATTACTTGTTAACTGAAGAAAATCCTGATAAATTTAAGGTTGTCACTTAGGCCCTATTACTGGACTTTAGTCAGATGATTGTGTTGTGATGAACAGTTTCAGTCTTCCAAAAAGGAAGATGTTTCTGGAGCCATTCATTTATTCAGTAGCTTTGCTAGGCATTGTAAATAGAGCTGTGAACAAGACATGTCTTAGGCAGAAATGTCATGAGCATTTGGAGGAAAAATACAGTTAAAATGTGACCTCTTTCTAATCATGTTGATTCAACTGTCCAAGGAAGAAAAGGGGATTAATAAAAAGATCATAGGGACATTCATAAGGGATAAACCAATGTAGAACTGTCATCTAATTTTCTTAAAATTTCACATAATAGTAGTGCTAAATATGATTTAAACAGGGATGAGATGATAAAATATACACTTCCTGATTTTTGGTTCTGATTTACAAGTATTAACTCATATATTTGGCTGCAGTCATAAATGTATATATAATTTTATAGTTTGGTTCAAGTGTTCTCCACAGGCCCATATATTGAAGCCTTAATCACTAGCTTGTGGTGCTATTGGGTAGTTGTAGAACCGCTAGGTTGCAGGGCCTAATGGAAGGAAGTCATGCCCTTAATGGGATATTGGAAATGATCATTTTTTTAAAAAAAGACTGACTCATTCTATCTAGTCTCTAGGAAACTTGGTTAAATGGTTTAGATTCAACAGCAGATAAATGGTAAGGAAAATAAGAAAATGGAAAAGAATTTTTAGGAGATTTAAAAATACACATTTTTTAAATAAGTGAGATTATAAACTACTCTAGGACTGTCCTCCTCTGTGACAAAACTATAAAGAAACATGAAGGCTTGGAAGGGTAATTCTCTCAGTGGGAGGCTGAGGCAGGAGGATTGCACATTTGACTCCAGCCTGGGCAACTTAACAACTTGACAAGCAATAAAAAGTTTAAAAGGGGCTAAGGGTGTAGCTCAAGGCTCTGGTTCAATCCCCAGTACCAAAAAATAAAATAAAAAATAAAAGTCAGTCTAATGGTTGATTTTAGGGGAAGGGAGCCAGTTAGGATGGAATTCATGATGGGTTCTTGGAAATGGCTGAATATTTCTTGGTGATGGTTTATTTCTGGACCTGGGTGGTAGATAATAAGTTTCTTACTATAATTAAGCTATCCATTTGTTTTTGTGATTTTCTGTATTGATATTTTTTTAAATGGTAAAAACCAACAAGCCATACAGTTACATACTATACATCCACAACATATACATCTGGAAATTGATGATGCCAGATGTTATTAAGGATTTGGAACAGTAGAGACTTTCATAGACAGTACTGCTGATAGAATAAGTTGGTACCACAACTGGTCCAAAAATATGTGTTGATTAATGGATTGTGGAAGAAATACCCAAGGCCCAACACAATCCCATTTTATAGAAAAATGTGCTTGTTTTCACCAGTCAGATGTACAAGAATGCCCATAACAGTAATTTATAATAGCCAAAAATAAAAACATCAAGATGGAATAGGCAAATATACTGTTACATTCATACATTAAAACCTATACTGCAATAAAAATAAAGCAATTACTGCCACACACAATGTGAATGGATCTTGTGATGTTTGAGTGATTGTTTCAACTGGAGAGGTTTGGTTAAGAGTTTAGCTAAATCAACTCAGCAATTCCATGCCCTAGGCCGTAGAAGATCCTAGGCGGAGGAGGACTCATCCTGTGGTGGCTCCTTGCCTGAATGATATAAAGGGGAAATGAAGAAGAGCATTGCTGCTTCTGTTCCTTTAGAGGACCTCCAGTCTTTGCCTTGGATGTTAACTCCTGCCTTCCAGAGCAGACTTCGGCTTCTGGCGTGGATCCTTCAGCCTCCATCACAGACCCATCAGCCTTCTGATACAGACTCGCTCTGGACACTGCAGGGAGCTCCAGACCTTTGACTAAATCCTTCAGTCTCTCGTTTGCAGACACCCTGTGCACTCGTCCAACTGGGTGGCCATCGTAAGCCAATCTTGTAAATTCATATATATCTATATATTGTGCGTTCTGTCTGTTTCTCTAGTAAATACTGATACAGATGTTAAAACAATGGTTGAGTGAAGGAAACCACACATAAATATATATTGAGTGACTTCCTTTACATAGTTTCGGCATAATCTAGTTTTTTGGGGGGACTTCCTTTGTGTGTTGTATTTTACAACAGAAGTTAAGTGGGAAAGTCACTGTTAAGAAAAAAAGCTACTATTGTGAAACAATAGTTGGGGAAGTCAGCAGGACATTTCATTGAGTCTGTACAGCTTTATTTTTTAACCATTTTCTTTTCTTTCTTTTTTTTTTTTTTTTTTTTTTTTTTTTTTTTTTTTTTTTTTGAGACTGGGTCTCACTATGTAGTTGAGACTGACCTGGAACTCACTATGTAGCACAGGCTGGTCTCAAACTCAGTGATCCTCCTGCCTCAGCCTCCGGAGTGCTGGGATTACAGGTGTGAGCCGCCATGCCCAGCTTACCATTTTCTTATTTTGATGAAAATTAGAGGAATAAAAATTATGAATCAAGGCTAATTACAACTGCTTTTTAGTTTCAAGATTGCTATCTGTAATCTACCCCAATCACTTAGCCCTTCTGAGAAATATCTCAATTTTTTTTGCCTTCCTGGGGAAACACCAAGTGCTTCAGAAATAAACCCCTGGGTTCTCATTAAAGAGTTAATAATCAAATAACAACAGCATTTTCCCAAGTTCTGTCATAAAACGTTGTACAGGCAATATATCAAAACTGTGTTACCAGAGTTTTACCACATAACTTTCTTGTACCTATAGCTGAACAAAGGTATCTCAGTTTTGTAAACTACAACTCCAGGTGTTAGTTCTGTTTCTCACTTAAAATAAAGATTGTGGTATTACAAATATCCTGGTATAAAAGAACTCTGTTATCAAATTTGGACCTCTTCTAATCAAATACTTTTCTTTCAAATTTATTTTGAGTACTACTTTCAACAGCCAAATTGCTTTCTTTTTACCAAAACTAGCATCTTTCCATTTTTACAATAGAAATCAAAGGAAGCTAGAACTCATTTTTATTTGGTTAGAATGTCAAGCTTGTTAAGCATAGTACTAGGTGGTGCTTTAGGGTTCCTCCAGAGTGGCCAACCAGAGAGGTTCAGACTAGGGAGAAGCAGTGTGATGGTGGAATTTTTATGTCTTTCTGCAAGAAAGTCTCTGCATCAGGTCATTTAACTCTTGAGTTAAATCATTCAACTCACCTGGACTTCATATCAGATTGCTTAGCTTTAAATCCCGGTTTTGCCACGTAGTGGATCAGTGGCTCTGGATAAGTTGCTGAATATCCTAGGTCTCATTCCTTCATTTGAAATGAAAATAATATATGGTGATTTTAGAGTTACGTAGATATAAAGTATTTAGCATAGTGCCTGGCACATATCAAATATGACATGGATATTCCTATTTCCTACCTTGTGGGGCTGTGTGAAGATTAAATATGAGAAACCACTTTGTATATGGTAAATGTAATCAAAACAGGAATTTTGTTATAAGTACCCAGTAGATGCAGAGTTTATTAATAAAGCTAATGCAACCAAATTGGAGTGGGGGTGGTATACGGAAAGATCCTTTACCCCTTCCACATTACTTTACCATAGTAACTATTTACAATAAATCCTACTATAAGAAACTTCATTTTTCCTTTGGAGGTAGCAAGAAACTATATATAAAGCTTCAATGTTTGTTTCTTGATTAGATAGCTGAAAGTAAATTTTTAAAAATACCTGTAATAGCACTCTGGGAGCCTGAGGCAGGAGGATTCCAAGTTCAAGTTACCCTGGGCAACTTAGTGACTTAACCATCTCAAAATTAAAAAGGGCTAGTGATGTAGCTCACTGTGAAGACCCTGGGTTTAAGTCCCGGTACTACTGCCACCAATAACAACAAAAAATGGAGTCCAAAAGTTAGAAATGTTAGTCAATAAATAACAGTTTAAGTTCTTGCCTTTTCTATTTTGTGGTACTCATCTTTCCATCACTGTGAAAATACCTCATATAAACAAACGGAAAAAAAATCCAGTACTGGGCCGGGGATTTAGCTCAGTGGTTTGGTGGCCTGCCTTGTAAGCGCAAGGACCTGAGTTCAATCCCTGGTACAAAAAAAAAAAAAAAAAAAAAAA